TGGCCCCGAGGGGCAGGTCCCTGTCCCAGCCCCGTTCCTGCTGCCAGCTCTCACCTGAGCAGGAGAAGCCGTCGCCGTTGAAGCCGTCGCGGCAGGCGCAGCGGTAGGAGCCGGGCGTGTTCACGCAGTTGGCGTTCAGGTTGCACTTGTGCTCCTCGGTCGCACACTCGTCCAGGTCTGGGCACAGAGAACACCCTGTCAGTGCCTGGCCTGGCTAATCTGGGCTCCTGGACCAGCTGGACTCGGGTGTCAGAGTGGGTTGGGTGGGAATCATGATCCAGTGATTCAGGATCATCCAGTTCCACCCCCAGGGACTCCTTCCACTGGCCCAGGTTGCTCCAAGCCCTGTCCAGCCCAGCCTTGGACACCTTTTCTTGCTCCAGGGGCACACAAATGGCCCAGGAGACTGTCTGGGCACCTGGGGGCTCCAATACATCCCTGGAGACCTCTATGGCCATGAGCTGTAAGCCACTGGCCATGTCCCCAAGTGCCACATCTACATGGCTTTAAATCCCTCCAGTGATGGTGGCTGGGCCAGGGCTGGACATTTCCATGAGGACATTTTCCCAGTGTCCACCCTGAGCCTCCCCTGGCCCTGCCTGGAGCTGTTCCCTCTTGTCCTGTTGTCCCCCGGGAGCAGACCCCGATCCCCCCGGCTGTCCCCTCCTGGCAGGGAGCTGTGCAGAGCCTCAAGGTCCCTCCTGAGCCTCCTTTTCTGCAGGCTGAGCCCCTCCATGCACCGGTGCTGCAGTGGGAGCTCAGCCCAGCTTCCCCAGGTGCCTGCAGAGCAGGGGAGGGATCCTGCTGTGCTGGTTCAGGACTCACCGTTGCACTTGAGCCCGTCCCCGAGCCAGCCCGAGCGGCACTTGCACTTGAAGCTGCCGGGGATGTTGATGCAGGACGCGTGCATGTCGCAGTTGTGCGCCCCGATCTCACACTCGTCGATGTCTGCAGAGGAAGGACAGCGGGGCTGGCACAGCTCGGCTCTCCCAGCCCTGCAGGGCTGAGCTCGGGGTGATCCCACTCTGGGTTTGGGCACTGACAGCTCCCCGAGCTCAGGGTGATCCTGATCTGGGTTTGGGCACTGACAGCTCCCGAGCTCGGGGTGATCCTGATCTGGGTTTGGGCACTGACAGCTCCCTGAGCTTGGGGTGATCCCACTCTGGGTTTGGGCACTGACAGCTCCCTGAGCTCGGGGTGATCCTGATCTGGGTTTGGGCACTGACAGCTCCCCGAGCTCGGGGTGATCCTGATCTGGGTTTGGGCACTGACAGCTCCCTGAGCTCAGGGTGATCCTGATCTGGGTTTGGGCACCGATGGCTCCCTGAGCTCCCAGGGCTTTGGGGGAGAGGCTGCCTGGGCTGGGAGCCTGGAGCTGAGGAGCTCAGCCCTGGTAGATGTGCAGGGAGGGAGGGCAGGCTCCTGGCCTGGCCATCACCTGGAACAGGGGGGTTCCTGTCCCCCTGTGCCTGCCCAGCCCACTGCCCATCCCGCAGCATCCCTGGCACGGGGCTCTCCAGGGCAGCTCTGCGAGGGTTTCCTGTTCTCCAGCACTGGCAGCCCTGGCTGCAGGTGTGCTGAGCTCTCACCTGTGCACCCCGTGGTTCCCTTCTTGACGAAGTAGCCCAGCTGGCAGTGGCAGATGAAGGAGCCCTTGGTGTTCTCACACTCGCCGTGCAGGCAGATGTTGGGGTTCAGGTCGCACTCGTTCACATCTGCAGCACAAAACCAACCATGGGACACCCCGAGGACCCCGCTGTGGCTCTGGGGACAGGGGACAGAGCTGGGACACGGCCAGGGCACGGCCAGGGCCTCACCAATGCAGGTCTTCATGTCCAGGGATGCCATGAAGCCGTCGAAGCAGAGGCAGCGGTACTCCCCGGGGATGTTGGTGCACTGCCCCCCGTCACAGATGTCGGGGTTATCCTCACACTCATCGATATCTGCACAGAGGAGAAGGTGAAGGTGAACACAGGAGCACCAGGGGGAGGGAGGGAATCCCCAACCGTGAGAAGCTGGAGGTGGCAAAATCACCCATCCAGGAAAACCCTTCCTCGGGAAGGGACTGCAAAATGAGAGCCCTCATCCTGGAGCCACCTGCAGGAGCCCAGGGGGCCACTGACCTGCACAGGACCTCTTGTCTGGCATCAGGGCGTAGCCTTCGCTGCAGCTGCACTCGTAGCTGCCCTCGGAGTTGGAGCAGTGGGTGTCACAGCCCCCGTTGGTGATGGTGCACTCGTCAATGTCTGGGGACAAACACACAGCGGCCTGAGCTGGGAGGGACCCACGGGGAGCCAGCCCAGCCCCTGGCCCTGCACAGACAAGAGCCCAGGCAGCAGTTTGGGTGGGAGGACACAAATCTCCCCCAGCCACAAGAGAACTCCTCATTCCTCCTCCCCAGCCCCTGGCAGTGCCCTCGCGGCCGCTCACCCTCCCTCGCCAGCAGCACGGATTTGGCTGGCGCTCACGCAGGACATTCCCCCTTTGCTTCACCCTCTGAACACAGCACACACGAGCCCAGCAGGGCTCTGGGCTCATGCCAAGGCTCTGGAAGGACGGTTTGGAGGAGCACTCACCGACACAGCCCTGCCTGTCCGGCGTGGCCTGGAAGCCCGAGTCGCAGGAGCACTGGTAGGTGCCGATGACGTTGACGCAGCGCCCGTTGCGACAGAGGTTGTCACTGAGGGAGCACTCGTTGATGTCTGAGGGGACAAGAGCACTTGGAGCAGCCAGCCCTGCTCAGGCCATCATCTGGTGTCCAAACTGGGTTTGTCCCATTGGTCACAGGGAGCAGCAAAACGAACAACAAAACGCTGGGAATGAGCTTGGCCCCTCCTCTTGGATGAGCTGGACCCCCTTATCATGGAAGCACAGAAGGCTTTGGGTGGGAGGGACCTTAAGGATCATCCTTGGCCAGGATGGGACACCTTCCCCTAGCCCAGGCTGCTCCAAGCCCTGGGCCACTTGCAGGGATGGGATGTACGGGATGGGGAGGAGGCAGCCAGAGCCCTGCAGGATCTCTCCCTGTGACATTTCCCTGCAGGATCTCTCCCTGTGACATTTCCCTGCAGGATCTCTCCCTGTGACATTTCCCTGCAGGATCTCTCCCCATGGAGTTTCCCTGCAGGATCTCTCCCCATGGAGTTTCCCTGCAGGATCTCTCCCTGTGAGGTTTCCCTGCAGGATCTCTCCCCATGGAGTTTCCCTGCAGGATCTCTCCCCATGGAGTTTCCCTTCAGGATCTCTCCCCATGGAGTTTCCCAGCTGTGCCCCCTCACCAATGCAGGTGTTGCCCTCGGCTGTCAGCTCGTGCCCAGGGGGGCAGATGCACTCGAAGCTGCCGTCGGTGTTCATGCAGATCCCGCCCCGGCACAGCAGCGGGTCCCGCTCGCACTCGTTGATGTCTGCAGGGGAAAATGGGATTGGTCCCAGAAGATCCCAGAACGGGAACAGCGCTCAGGGAACAGGGCAGGGAAAGCTGGGCTTGGACCCAGCGGTCTCCTGGTTGGAGTCTGAATGTTGGGAATGTCGGGAAGCAGAACCCAAGAGCCCCTCAGTGGCAGCAGAGAAAGGGACTGAGGTGGGATATTTAAAAAACCTCATTTTCCTCTCACGTTTATTTTCCTGACCCCAGCCTTGAAGTTAAGAATGGGATATTTCCCCTGACTTGGATAAAACACCGATGAGATTTTCAGGTGAAGAGGGCTGGGACACACCTGAAAATGGGGGTGACAGATCCCTACCAAACAGCCCCAGAGCAGTGGGAACCTGTTCCCGATGAATCCCAGCCTGCATTTTCACTGCTGGGGTTGTCCCCTGCCCCAGGCTGGAAAGAATTCCTCCCTCAGGAGGCTGAAGACAAATTCTTTTGCCAAACACAGGTGGGAAGAAGTTAATCCTTGACCACAGGCAATGACAAAACCTCACCACCCCCTTTGGGGTGAGATGACTCAGCTCCCTGTCACCCAGAAAAAAAAAAGGATAAAATGGAATTGGACAAGTAACAGTGAGCATTAAATTAAAAATAAAAAAGAACAATGAAATTTATATCCTTCTATAAAGATCAGAAATCTGATTACTGCAAGGAGGCAGCAGGTCATGGGTGAGGACTGTGACATTCCCAGTGTCCCAGAAATGGAGCAGAAGGAGGAGGATGATCAGTGGGAGCTGTGGAAACCCACGCTACAAATTGTACAGAAAAGACAAAGCCCCTGCCAGGGACAGTGATTTATTTTAAAGAGCACAGAGAGTAAAACATGAAAAATAAATAAATGGTGTTGAATCATGGCTTGAAGTGGTTTGAAAGTCCAAGCCAAGGCAGAATATTAAGAGCAGGTCAGTGAGACAAGCGAGTCTGGCTGGACAGAGGAGAGGAACATGGAATGCCAGGAATCAGAGGACAGCAAGAGTCTGGCTGAGCTCTTGGAGACAAACTGAGGTACTGAGGTCACTGATGGGATTTTTTAAGCTCCAAACAAGAATTATTCAATTGAAAACAGATGAGACTTGGACAGAATGAAAACAAGCGCTGGGCAGACAGGAGGATCTGTGAGGAATTGTGTGAGGATAAAGGGAGATTAAATGGGCAGGTGAAGGGAGCCCCTGGAGCTGAGAGGTGAGGGGGGCACAGGGAGCCCCAGAGCTCCTCAAGATCCACGCGCTGTTTGGGCACTTCTGGTGCCCAGGGCGCTCAGCCTCACTCACCCATGCAGTTCTTCATCATCATGAAGCCGCTCTCGTAGCCCTCGAAGCACTCGCACTCGAAGCTGCCCGGGGTGTTGACACAGGAGCCGTGGCCACACAGGTCGGGGGAGATGCGGCACTCGTCGATGTCTGGGGACAAGGACAGGGACTGGGGCAGGACAGGCCACCAGCAGGGCCAGAGCCCCTGCAGGGCTGTGGGCACTGCACGCCGGGGACCAGCAGGAAAAGGAATTCCCCATCCTTGGAGAGGCTCCCTGGGGCTGAGCCTTCACCCCACAGGCAGGAGGAGCCTTGTGGAGTCACGGAATTCCAGGGTGGTTTGGCTTGGAGAGACCTTAAATCCCACCCAGTGCCACCCTGCCATGGCAGGGACACCTCCCACTGTGCCAGGCTGCTCCAAACCCCGTCCAGCCCGGCCTTGATGCTCCTGCTCGTGGTCCTGCCCTTGGCTCCTGCCCAGGTAAGTGCCAGGACTCCTCTGGGCAGCCCCGGCCCTGTGGCTGAGCCCCCCAAAGGCAGCAGAGCAGCCCGGGGGTCCCTCACCTGTGCAGTTCCTCTCCTCGGCATCCAGAGCGAAGCCGTTGCCGCAGATGCACCTGAAGCTGCCGATGGTGTTCCTGCAGGTGCCGTGGGTGCACAGCCCGGAGAACACCTTGCACTCGTTCACATCTGGGGGGGATCCGAGGGATTCAGCCTCGGGGGTCTCCCCCAGCGCCCCCCGGCAGCGGGGCCAGCCCCGAGCGCCGCTCACCTTTGTAGAAGGGCCGTCCCGAGAGCACATCGCCCCGGTTGGCAAAGCCGGGCCCGCGGGGACACAGCGCCTTGTACTCCCCGGAGCCCGGCCGGGGACACTCCTCGCAGTCGGAGCCCCAGGCCGAGCCCACCGAGCAGCAGCACATGTCCATGCGGAACTTGCCGGGCAGCGGCTCCGTGCACTCGTCCTCGTCCCAGCGCATGTAGCACTGCTCCAGCCGCACGTCTGCGGACAGCAGCGGCTCAGCCCCGCACCGGCACCGGCACCCGGCTCAGCCCCGAACCCCGAACCCCGAACCCCGGCACCNCGGTCCCTCACAGCCGCGGCCCCGCTGCTCAAGATGCCCTCGTTCCCTCATAACTCGTTTAATGTAAAAGCCCTGAATAACTTTCCTCTCCCTTGTCTTGTTCCTCCTTTTTTTCGTCCCGAGGCTATGGAAATCCCTCGGTCGCATATTATTAATATATTATCATTCTAATAACCTATATATATATATATATATATATATATATATATAACCTCACTGTTTCCCGAACTCTCGCCCTGTCCCAGCACAAACCCACCTTAAATCCTGCTTTTTAATTTGAAAATCAATGCCCTCTATACACCACCATCCCATTTTATTAGAAACGGGATTTTCCCCCTCTTCGTTTTTCAGAGAAAATTTTAAAATAATATTTTTTGCCTATCTGGCCTCTAAATTTACTTGAGAGTATTTTTGCCATCTCAGCATCCCTCCTGTTAAGCCTCTAAAAGGATATATAAAACTATGGATGAAAGTAGCTCTAAAAATATATAAACGTTCAATTTGTATCTATAAATATGTATATAACACAAATAAGTATATAAGATATATATAAAGTGTATCTAAAATATAGCTAAGTCTGTATAAAGGGATGTGCTGCCCTGCAAAACTCTGTTGAAGCAGCATCCATCCTTTTAATCCTATAAAAATATATAAAAAAAATATATATAAAATAAAAGTGCATATTAAGATACATATTGAAGGATATATAAAAGTGTATGTCACCCTGTGGAGCTCTCTGTATTTAAGCATCACGAATTAACACAGCATCATCTCCCAAACCCTGTATCCCGAATATTATTTTATAGCCAGATAAAATATAAATATATTAATATAAAATATAAAATAAAAATAAAATATAAAATAAAAACTCCCCAAATTAAAACAGGAAAAACATGAACTATCCCAGATTTTAGCAGGCACTTACCCTCCGATGCCTATAATATATTTCATTTTGCCGAGTCGCCTCTTGAGCCGGAATGTGGCGAGGAAAGGGGGATGGGAAAAAAACCCCAAATTTGGGAAGGCTGAAAGAACTTTCAGCGGAATAAAAACTCTGCTGTTCCCTCTTTCTTTTCCCTGCTCTGCCTCCCCGACCCTTTCATTGAGGAAAAGGCGATTTTGGGGCGGATTTATAGGGCCGTGTCCCCGCCCCGGAGGAGCCCTGTGACCATCATGAGCCGCGATGTCACGTTTTGGGCAGGTCCGGCCAAGCCTCAATGTCACATTTTTGGGAGAGATTCAGCCCAAACCTTCCCGTGGCACATCCTGAGGGGAGTTCAACCCTATAATGTCACATTTTGGGGGGGTTCAACCCCATAACATCACATTTTGGGGGGGGTTCAACCCTACAATGCCCCATAATGTCATATTTTAGAGGGGTTTAATGCCCCCAGTGTCACATTTTGAGCAGTTTTAACCCCACAATGTCCCAGTTTGGGGCAGGGGTGTGGTTCAAGTTACATTTTGTGGGGTTCCAACCCTCTCATTCCACTCTTTTTTGGGTGGGGGGGAGGTTCAACCCCCAAATACCACATTTTTGGGGGAATTTCATCCCCGCAGTGTCACATTTTCAGGGAGTTTGAGCTCCAGTGTGACACTTTTGGGGCTCATCCCAGCCCTGTGTCACACTCTGGCCCTGCACCTGTCCCTCTCCCTCGCTGGCCCCGTGCGCTGCCGTCACCATCGTGGCCAAAAATAACTTTTTGGCCAGCTTTTCCTTTTCCTAAATTAGTCATGGGGCAGGTGGAAATGTCACCCCCACCACCATCCCCCCGGGAGCCCAGCGAGCCGCAGAGGTGTGCGGGATATAATTAAGTCGTGATTTTTTTCCTTTGCTGTCTCCCCTCCTTTATTCCCCAATTCCCATCTGATTATTTGAAACTCGTCCAGCAGTGGCACGGGAAGGAATTTTTCTCTAAACTCCTGAAAAACAAAAAGAAAAAAAAAAGGTGGGGGGAATTAAATCTTAATTTTTTTGTTGTTTTTTTTCCTTTTCAGTCAAGCTGTTCAGAGAAAGGAATGTGGAGTGAATCTTCCCGGAATGTCTCTTTACAAGGAATTTTTTGAACAGTTTGTTTTTTGTAAATAGACACAAATTCCTAAACTATTATCTCTCCAGAGATCCTCCTCCTCCCCAGTTAACTCACATAAAATAAGGCTTTTTAAGGTAAGTTAACTCTGCACCTGTGCTTTAATTTGAATTATTCCAGATGTTTCTTCATTGGGGTTCTCTGAGCAATATCAGGCTTTTCAACCATATTTTTTTAAGTTGATAATGTGCATTTTAAAATAATATCTTGCCTTGTTCTCCCTTTTTATAAAACCACTGTGGCAGGATTAAAAGGTCACAGTTAAAAATATTAAAGGTTCCTTGTCCTGCAGTGGGGTGGAAAGTGATGGTAAAAAAATCAGTAAAGCCAAATTTGTGTATTTGGGGTCCTGTTTGTCATTTTGCCTTGGGGTCTTCAGCTTTTACAGTGTAAAATCCAAATATCCAGGATTCCAAGGGAAGTTTCTGAAGGAATATATATGTGTGTGTGTATATATATATATTTAGATATTTCCTATTTAATAAAGTATAGGATCCTCCAGATCATTTGGGTTCTGGCATCTTCTTTGCCTCATTGTGCCCCATGGCACCATCCCACTCCTTATTCCTATCCCCATTATCTTCAGGGTACTTCTCCTCAAATTGGGTTTGACATCATTAACTTTTATTCAGACCTGCTCCTGAGCTGTGTTTAACTTGAATTTTTTCTCTTTCAGGCCTGAGGAAGGAGGTTTGTGGCTTCAAACCTCCTTTGTCTCAGCCCAGCTGTGTCCGTTCAGCTAAAATAAAAATAAAAATGTTGTTTTTCTCTTCAAAGCTGTTTCTTCTCCTCAGCCACCAGGCCAAAACCAAGTGCTAAAATGAGCTGCTCATGAATAAACATGAGCTGCAAATCAGGGAAATTTTAACTGCCAGAGGTCAAGGTTCTGGAGGTTTTGCAGGGAAGATATTGAAGGTAAGAAAGGAAATCAGGTTTAAGGTAGAACCTGGTGATTTTATGGGTGTGAGTACAGCTAAAGAGCTTACCCAGTCTTAATTCCAATGTTCCCACTGTTATTATCATTATTATTAGGGGAAATATTAATGATTAATTTGGTTTTTCCTGGAGGCACCCCTTGCACTGTCACCATCAGTTCCAGGGTAAAATGATAATCCCAGAGAAATCTGGAACTTGGATTCTCAAGCAAACTCAGGGAAGTTGAATTTCCAGCCCTGCTGGGCATTTCCAGGGTATCCCCACATCACCCCTCAACTGATAAAGGTAAAAAATTGCTAAATTGTCCCCAAACTGTCTCCTACTCAAGAGTTTTATGCCTTTTATTGCTTTTCTCACCCATTCCTGAACTAGGAAGCTGTCTGGGTTAAGAAATCCAACTCCAGGGATTATTTTACTGCATTTGACCTCATGTGAAGGGAAAAAGAAACCAAGAGGCTCCAAAATGGTGTCAAAGGTCCGAGGGGACACCGACCCCGGCCACCTCTGCTCCAGTTCTCTTTGCACTGCAGACCTGCTAATCCAAATATTTCTGGAAGATTCCATCCCAGGGAGTGGAATTTGCATTCTGCCCAGTTGGATTTGCCTGCAGGGACGCGGCTCGGGGATACAGGTGGGGTTTTTACCCTTGGGAAAGGGTGAAACAAATGAGGATTTGGCCAAAGCTGTATCAAAAGAAACAAGGAACGATTGGTGTTGGAAGCAGACAGTAAATGTGGTGGATGGTTTGGGATCAGGGAATCCAGAGCAGTGTCCCACTATCTCCATAAGGAATGTCAACACTTCTGTTTCTTCTGGGAACGGGAGGATTGAAGGACACGGGGCTGTTTGTTGTTGTGTTGGGCTTTGTTGAAGCTCCCAGCTGCAAACCCCATTCCTGGCAGTGTAAAACTCATTTCTCCTTGATGCAAAAGCTCATTTAAAAACTCATTTCTCCTCAGTGTAAATGTTCCTTTTCCTCAGTGTAAAAGCTCCTTTCTCCTCACTGTAAAAGCTCATTTCTCCTCGGTGTAAAAGCTCCTTTCTCTTCAGTGTAAAAGCTCATTTCTCTTCATTTAACAGCTCTCTTCTCCTCATTTAAAAGCTCCTTTTCCTCAGTATAAAACCTCATTTTTAAACCTTTTGCTCAGCCCCTCAGTGCTCAGCGCTGTTCCTTTCCCCACTTTGTTTTCAGGCTCCTCGGGGTGTTTTTCCTCTCTCCCCTATTCCTGCTCAGCCAGCAGCCACACTGGGAGCTGGAATTCACCCACATAACTGGAATTCCCAGATTCCTGCCTGGCCTGGGAGCTGCTGCTCCTCTGGATGTGCCTGCCTGTATTTGGAGATCCCATTCCAGCTGGCTCCTTCCTTCCCAGCAAAACCCACCTCAGCCCAACAACTGCCGGCCCTTAACCCTGCCCAGCTCCAGCAAACTTCACCCAAACCACTAAAATATGAGTTATGCAAATGCCAGATGTTCAGAAAGGCTTTTTTTAGCCCCGTTTCTGGGCGAGCTGCGCGTTGGTCATCTGAAACTTCCTTTTTTTGGGGCTTGTTTATGGCAGAGATACGTTATCTGCCTGACACTTTACTCATACAAATGCCATTCACCAGGGAGCCTGAATCAAAGACAGGCAATGTTCCCTCTCAAAATGTTATTTTTAGAGTACTAATGTTTACTAAAAGTTCATATAAATATTCTTTGTTCAAACTCAGCTAAATTTAGCAGGGGGCAGTTTAATATTCACGGAGCCATCGGGACATTATTCCCCTGGGATTGTTTAGTTCCTGGGTGCCCGCTGACCTTTCTGCTGCAGAAAGTGACTCATTTCTTCTGCGGCTTTAATTCAGAATTTTAATCCTCCCCTAATCATAAGACATTGTTTATGGGATGAGCAAGGTTATGCCAAGGTTATGCCTGCTTGGAGGGGACGTCAGAGGCAAGAAATGGGAGTCATTTTCACTTGGGAATGTTGAAATTTGGAGTTATTTATTCTTTGCAGGACTCTGGGGGAGTTGGGTGGCTCAGGGTTGTTCTCCAAGGCTGGGGAGCTTCCCAAGACTCCGTGTTTGAAGGAGAACAGGGAAGCAGAACCATCCAGAGAGGAGAATTTGCTGCGAGCCTCGGTGAGGGCAGCAGCTCAGAGCGAGGGAAATGAGGGCAGTGGCATAGCAGAGTTAATTAGTGTGAGGTTTAAATGGCTGGAACCTCCTCCTGGTGGCTCCCAGCCAGGAGCTGCCACCATCAGGGTGACATTCCGACTGCTGGAGGTCCCGTGGGAGAGTTCACACGGAGGGCTTGGACAAGGCAGGGCTGGGGCCGAGGAAAAGACAGAGGAGAAAAAAGAACGGGGGCTTCTAGACTAGTGGTTCTAGAGTGGGTCCTAGTTCGGGCTCTACCCTCGGTTCTAGACCGGTTCTAGACTGGGTTCTAGACTCGGTTCTAGAGCGGTTCTAGACTCGGTTCTAGAGCGGTTCTAGACTCGGTTCTAGAGCGGTTCTAGACTCGGTTCTAGATCGGGTTCTAGAGCGGTTCTAGACTCGGTTCTAGATCGGGTTCTAGACTCGGTTCTAGATTGAGTTCCAGGCTCTGTGGTTCCAGACTCGTGGTTTTAGACTTTTATTATTATTAGGGGGAATATTAATGAATAATTTGGTTTTTCCTGGAGGCACGCCTTGCACTGTCACCATCAGTTCCAGGGTAAAATGATAATCCCAGAGAAATCTGGAACTTGGATTCTCAAGCAAACTCAGGGAAGTTGAATTTCCAGCCCTGCTGGGCATTTCCAGGGTATCCCCACATCACCCCTCAACTGACAAAGGTAAAGAAAAATTGCTAAATTGTCCTCAAATTGTCTCCTACTCAAGAGTTTTATGCCTTTTATTGCTTTTCTCACCCATTCCTGAACTAGGAAGCTGTCTGGGTTAAGAAATCCAACTCCAGGGATTATTTTACTGCATTTGACCTCATGTGAAGGGAAAAAGAAACCAAGAGGCTCCAAAATGGTGTCAAAGGTCCGAGGGGACACCGACCCCGGCCACCTCTGCTCCAGTTCTCTTTGCACTGCAGACCTGCTAATCCAAATATTTCTGGAAGATTCCATCCCAGGGAGTGAAATTTGCATTCTGCCCAGTTGGATTTGCCTGCAGGGACGCGGCTCGGGGATACAGGTGGGGTTTTTACCCTTGGGAAAGGGTGAAACAAATGAGGATTTGGCCAAAGCTGTATCAAAAGAAACAAGGAACGATTGGTGTTGGAAGCAGACAGTAACTGTGGTGGATGGTTTGGGATCAGGGAATCCAGAGCAGTGTCCCACTATCTCCATAAGGAATGTCAACACTTCTGTTTCTTCTGGGAATGGGAGGATTGAAGGACACGGGGCTGTTTGTTGTTGCTGTTGGGCTTTGTTGAAGCTCCCAGCTGCAAACCCCATTCCTGGCAGTGTAAAACTCATTTCTCCTTGATGCAAAAGCTCATTTAAAAACTCATTTCACCTCAGTGTAAAAGCTCATTTCTCCTCGGTGTAAAAGCTCCTTTCTCCTCGGTGTATAAGCTCCTTTCTCCTCGGTGTAAAAGCTCCTTTCTCCTTGGTGTATAAGCTCATTTCTCCTCGGTGTAAAAGCTCACTTCTCCTTGGTGTAAAAGTTCCTTTTCCTCAGTGTAAAAGCTCCTTTCTCCTCAGTGTAAAAGTTCCTTTTCCTCTCTGTAAAAAGCTCCTTTCTCCTCAGTGTAAAAGCTCATTTCTCCTCAGTGTAAAATTGCCGTGGCGGTGTTGATGGCAGGGGTGCCGTGACTACCCTGAAGGAGCCGTCCTGGAAAGGGCTGCCCAGGGGCACAGGCACATCCTCTGCCCGGTGAGTGATTTCAGCTCAGCGGCAGCGTGCAGGCGACACGAAGAGAGAGATTAGAGAGCTGGATGGCATTCCAGTGAGAAATGCCCTTTATTATAGCAGGGCCCTCAGTGAAGTGTCGTTCCGATTGGGAACGGCGATAAAGAACGACACTGGACTCTCAAGGGAGTCTCAACAGGAGAATTCTCAGTTTATTGCTTCAAGCTTGTCTTATAGACAGATACGTGGAAAGTACAGAAAAGAAACTCTTATTGGTTAGCAAAGTGCTACATCACCATCATTGGTCAGGGGCACTCTACTCCCCTGACCCTCTCTTGCAAGGTAAACAAGAGGACAGATAAACAACACCTGGCAGTTGTTTTCTGTCTCTGAGGATTGTTTTGAAATCCTCCTTTGAATTCCCAGGCTAGCTTCTCAGGCAGGACTGAGAGGCCATGGGCCTGCAGTCTCTGCAGCTCTCTGCAGCCTGTTCCAAAGCTAGCATCCATAACTCACCTTTTCTGTTAGAAAAAATAAAAAGCAGTGTTTGTTGTATCCTACTGGGTCCTTGTAGGATAGAGAACAAACACAGCTCAAGAAGTTTTTTTACAAGAACTTTGAATGGATGTTGATCTAGAATTAATCTAGAATTTTGGCTTATGTTTTGATGTTTAAGATTTGTTTTCCTTGTAAGGACTAATGGTTGAGTCTAATATTTTTAATTCAGTGAATTAATACACACACTATACAAAACACTGTTAGTCTGTTCGAATTGACAGTCTAACTTGTCAATAGAGTAGTTTGAAAGAACACCAAAGTGATAAAAACAATGCACAATGTAGTTTATGCTGCTTTGATCCCCTCTTCTTATCCCGTTTTTTTTTTGGGTTTTTTGTTTGTTTTTTTTTTTATTTTTTCTTTAAATATAATTGAGGGGGTTTTTGAGGGATTTATAAATTCTTGGTTGTTAGAACCGTAGTTCGTGAATTTCAGGAGGTTCAGGAAACCCGAAGTTATTATCTCCTCGCGGCTGGTTGTCAGCTCTGTAAACACAAGACTTAAAAGGTACAAAGTGAGTTAGTTTGGGTCCCGCAGGGACTGCAGGACGCTGGCGCGGCTCAGGCCGCTGGAGTTGACGAACTCGTTGAGGCATCTCCTCGGGTCGGTGCGGAAGGTCTCGGCGGAGGGGCCCGCCGTTGTCTTTCTCTCCCCCCGCCACCTTTATGGGTGCGGGGGGGTCGCTGCTAGAATTCAGATGTGTGCGGAGCACGGTTCGCTCTCCTCTCCCCGCGCCTCCCCGCTGGAGCGCGGGGGGAGCGCAAGGGCAAGCCGTCCTATGCACGCGCGGGGTGAGCGAGGCCGCTGGCCCTCCCCCCCACACTTTCTTGCCGGTGCTTCGGACG